AATACTATTGTGTATACTGTGTATACTTATATATAATATGGTATAGATATATAATATATATATCTGATACAAAAATGTTTTCAATATAATAAAATACAAAATAATTTAATTTAATGATTACAAATAGGGATGTTTCTATACAAACTTATTAATATATAGATAAAGATAAATTGCATATAGATAAAGGAGTATATATTCTTCTCATAAATATATCTTACTATTCCAAACATTTCTAACGAAAAGGTTCCGAATTTTCCAGCCGTCAATTTAAGAGGAATTCTAGATCGATGTACAATGAACATTAAGTTTTTTGCATCTTTCGACGATAAATCGTACCACTTGCATTCATAGACGCCGTATGCCATTCTAGTGCTCTAAAAGTTACATAATTTCGCACAGGATTTTTTTTTATATAATGAATTGATTATGAATTTTTCGAGAATTTTCTTTCATTTTTCACTATGAAAACTTTTATGGAAATAGAAAAACTTGAAAACTTTTATTTTATATAAAATATTTACTTTATATAAACCGTAAAAATAAATTGTTGCTATTTATATACTGCATATTTCATAATTTATTAGTTTGCATAAGATCTGGTCGTATTAATCCATAATCCGCGTAGTTACCTCTGTTATCAATTTTTCAGCTGAGTAGCAATATCCATACAAGCTGAGCAACACTAAGTTGAAGTATAATGTGAGAAAAATCATTTTGATAATAGACACGTTCATATTATTTATTATTATCTGGAAATAATATGAAATAAAACAATCCTCTGTTTAAAGAACCGTGTATAAATGATTTCACTTACAGTGAAAACTTGGAAAGTTAAAAAACACATCTGAAAAGTAGTAGATAACATGTGTACAAGTAACACTGAGCTATAGCAGTCGTCAATCGTCTTTGCGGTCCTTGAAAACATTACTCATTTGTTATACGTTAATAATTTATTATCGAATTTTAATGTGTACTTTAAAAAATTGTATTCTATCTTGATTGAATTTATTTAAGTTTCAATTTCATATGTTTTATTGTGTTTGTTTTTAAATTTGATAGTGTTAAATTTTCTTTTGCTGCGTTTAAAAGCACAAGAAATTAAAAAAAAAAGAATTAATTAACAAATATCTTTTTATAATACAATACATACATATTTGTTGTTATACGTAATATGAGATCAGGAATGTTAAATCTTATTTTCAAATTTTTTTCTAAAAAAATCTTTTATCATAGAACGATTATAAATATTTCATTGCTATGTCAAGTAATGTGAGATTCTAAGACATACCTGATGAGATGATCATGTCGTACGACGATCGCAGCTAAACCTTCTTTAAATGTTATAGATGATATAGATTTGTTGGCTAATTTGTTTACCAAATTATTCAGCATTGTCCGTAGATTTATCAATTGCGCGCACACTTGTAGTACGAGCATCGAGATAAAGTTGTCAATAATGATATTAGCGAAAGCTGAACACGGTCCACCAAAAAGTTGGATAAAATAAGTGATTTCGTAGTTCGGACTCTTTTGAATTGTTTCTATTTGATAAACGAGGTTTCGTTTAGGCTGGTGAATAGTTTTGAAGAACCTCAGCAATTGAAGAGAAATGTGACATGTAATCGAGCTAGTTGCGAGCGCACAACATTTAAAGGACAGATTTCTGCCACTTCTCGTAATCTTCAACATAATATTTCGTTCCCACTCCTTCGAAGTCATCCAATCGGTCATAATCGATATTATCAGCGATTGAAGTGCTTCCAGATTGAATATTAATAAGTACATTAATAATTATTAAAACAAATTCCCAGACAGGGGAAATTATCGTTCAAAATAAAACATAAGATGTTTTAAAGATAATTATTATATAACATATATATATATATATATAAAACATTTAAAAATTTTTTAGGCATTATAGCAAAAGTCATGTCTTATGTTCCGACTTTGAACATGCATGGGTTTCTATATAAAACATGATTCGAATATTTTATATTTAAATAAAGATGTAATTTTGTGACATTTTACATCACAAAAATAAATCTGTTTATCCGATAATTATTGTTGTGGGAAATAAACTTACTTTTGCCGTGATACCAAGTTACAAGCAATTTACACACTGCCAACATGCTGAAATTTGCAGAGGAGAAATTTTCCACCATCCGAGTCACGCTACCCGCAGCACGAATTACATTGATCATTTGAGGACTGAATACATATATACTCACAGAACACATAACAATAATGAATCTTATACTTGGTCGACGAAATTCATTCAATGGGATCTGTGGATCGGGCCATATACCAAAGATCCATAGCCATTGGCGAATCGGATTAAATACATAATTCAAATCTAATAAAATCAAATTTTAGAATAGACATTACAGTTTAATTAGACATTGTTATTTTCTAAACATTATTTTTAAACATTGTTATTTTCTAAGCTTTTTTGTAAAAAATCTTATAATTCTAGATTTTTACAACATATAGTTTATAGATTTTCTTGCAACAAATTGTTATAATTATAAAATTTTTGTCCTTTAATAAACAATTATTTATTTTAAAAACATTATAAATTTTTTATGTTTACTTTTTTACTAAATCCATAAATAAATTTTTACTAAATATTATATTAAACAAATCGATTATAATTACTTCAAAAGAAATTTTGTTTTAATTATGAAATAAAAATAAAATAAAATGTATGATAAACAAGATTGGAAAAAAGATTAGAAAAATTTTGAAAATTAAACATAATTATCAATGCACGTAATATTTTATAAGAAATAAATTATTTGATAATATGTATTCTCTCTATTATCACACAAAGAAGTTTATCACACAAAGAAGTAATAATTAATAATTAACTTTTTTGAAGATTTTATAGATTTCCAGGTTCAAATCAGGTTCAAATTTTTTATTAACGCGCAATCTTTAATATTAATTTTTATATATATATATGTATTGTACGACATGGTTGTTTTTAAGAACATCGTTAATATTTTTGTTTATTTTTTTTCTTTAATATTTTACCTTTATTGACATTCATTGATGTTTACGGCGCGGAAATTATCGTTTGACTGAAGCGCTCTTCACGATTATACCAAACCATTATGATTTTGCGCTTGCTCAGTACACAAAGGATTCAACCGCTACCATCTGTGAATACTTCGGTAAACCCTTTCGGATACCAAGTGAAACGAGTAGCATATAATTATTATGCTATTGATAATAACCGAATGTTATGAATATTTTTTTTTAAAATGATATCATTATATTAATTAAAAAATCACTGTATTATTAATTCAATTAAGAAAAGATCGTTATTAAATTAAAAAATTAGTATTTAATTCCTTTTTTTTGCTATATAAAAACGAAACAAATTGTCTCACTTACTGAGAAAACTTAAAAGGTGTCAAAATGCAATTAAAAAGTAGAGGTTTTTTAATAAATTAATGATGCGGCTGATGATGACTTAAGCCCAGTTTCACAACTCACGTTTAACTCTCTTAAGCGAGGCTCAACTTGTTTCTCATCTCTTTTCAATTCTAGAATTGAAAAGAGATAATGAGTTAAATCTTGGTTAAAAATTAACTGTGAGTTGTGAAACTGGGCCTTAGTGAAATACGAAACATTCCGTAAAGATTTCTATTATTTACGTTAAAATAAATTTTATTTGTTATTTTATTTTGCTCGTTTTATTAGACCAGTTGCATTACATTTATTTATATAAATATTCTTACACAATTGTAATATAATTAAACATGCTAAAGAAACAATTAATGAATAATATGTTAAACAGGTAATAAAAAGTATGTAATATATGTAATTATTGTTTAAAATTTAATGTAGTAGTATATTCTAAAAAATATTAATATGGATTTATGATACCATGCGATGTTTATGTAATTCTTGCCATGTCATAGTATTAATGTTAACGACAGCATGGTGTGAATTTGAAATTCCTGGTGTTTATATCAACACTATCGTGATGTGAAATTAAAATGAAATTTACGACATGTTGTTAATATTAACACTAGCATAAAAAGAATTATAAAGATACCGCGTGGTGGTATCTTTAAATTCACACCGATATTTTTTAGAGTTTGCCTTAATGTGAATTCATTTAAATTATTGATGTAAACTTTAATTATCACAAATTATCATAAACAAGAATTATTTAATTGCTTAATAGAAGTTTATATTGTTGCAATACAATAAAATCGATAAGTTTTTTCTTTACAATATTTAATTTTAGAATGTTTTCTTTTAAATCTTGGTTAAATTGCTGAATGATGTTAGGTGAAAAGTTGGACTAATATTTAAATAATAATTAAACTTTATTAGAGCATGTGTATTTTCCTAATGTTTCCAAAAGTTACAAGTGCATATAAATCTATTTATTTTATTATTCAAGAATCGATGCCATAATCCGTTGTAAAAAATCCATTTATTATTATCTCTTAGTATCATTTTCTTTAACCTCTGATTGTTAGCAATGCTGATAAGTATCCCATTGCCGTTTTGATAGTCTAAACAGAATACAGAACATAAATATAGTTTTAAGAGATACAATTTTAATTTAAGTAATCATGATGATTTCGCGTAAAGAGCCACGGTAGTGTCGCTGCGCTTGGCTTAGCACCGAGACACTACTATGTCTCCTGATAGATGCTACGAATAATACATAACATGTATGTAGAATAAAAAATATACTCATATACATATGTACATACACATGCACGCACGCACGCATTACAAGATATTCTAAAACTCGTGACTCAAAATTCTTTAGTAAGAAAGTTTTCGAAAAATTAAGTAAAAAGAGTTATTTATGAATTTTTGTTTTAAGCTATAATTTCTGCGGTATAAGTGTTTAAATATATTTCATTTTTTTTTATGTTAGCTTATGTACATAGTTAAGGCCGTAGCACAGACTTTTGCATAACGCATAATACATACATTAATCTGCGCTGCGGCTTACTAGTGAACGTACTGAAGTGCGCGCTCTTCAGCTAATATCACACGCACGATTCATAGACATTTAAATCTTTATCTCAAAACTTTCTGCTTAAAATAAAAATTTATAAATAAATTTTTTTACTTAATTTTACGAGCTGTTGCTGCAGCATTTTGAGTGGCAAATTTTTTTTGAAAATTAATTTCAATTAATTTTACCAATATTTGTAACTGTTCAGACAATACAAAACAATTTGAAACATTTTTCTGTATCATTTTATTTTGCCAAATACTTAACCCATTATATTTGAAATAAAACACTCTACATATAGATTTTGCATAAAAACACAAATCTTTGTATATGTTATAAATTACACATTGTTCTTATAATTTTTCTATTATTACATAATATATTATACATATTATAATATATTATACATATGTATGTACATATATATATATATGTATATAAATATTGTATATTACATATATATAAAAACATATATATAAATAACAGAAGAATAAAAAATAACATCCAAGATAGTAATTACAAAAAATTTTGCATTTTTATATAATTAAGATATATATTCACATCATAACTATAATAGACAAAACAATTTATTTTTCTATATTCTATAAATATATCTTACTGATCCAAACATCTCTATTGAAAAGATGCCGAATTTTCCAGCTGTCAGTTTAAGAGGAATCTTAGATCGATATACAATGAACATTAAGTCTTTTGCATCTTTCGATGGTAGGTTGTACCACTTGCATTCATAAATGCCATACGCCATATTGGTGCTCTGAAATTATAAATTTTTTTACATGAATTAACATATATAAATTGTATTAAAAATAATTGTAATAAAAGTATAAATTGTATTAAAAGAATTAACGCGCATAAATTTTACCTCTGCCATAAGTTTTTCAGCTGAATAGCAATATGCATACAAATGCGTCATCATATAAGTGATATAAGACGAGAGAAAAATTATTCTGATCATAGGTATTTTTAAATGATCTGTTATCATCTGAAAATAATAAATATTTTAATAGTTGCAAATATGCACAATGCAAAACTAACATAATATATTATGCTATATTAGAGTAACTCCGGCAAATATGCTGCGCTGGGATTACGTCGTAGAAGTGAAAAAAAAATAGAAGAAATGGGGGTAATTTTCCCGCAACTATTCTGTTACATGTTTTTATGTTATATTAATATTGTGTTGTGTTCACTTTCTTACTGTCAATATTAAATTATTTTGAGTTGAATCGATTTCACTATAATAAATAACGTCATCATAAAGTACATAAAATAATTACTGTAAGGCGCGTAAAAGACTTGGTGGTTATTTCATGATATATGTAGAGAAATAGTAAAACAAGTTGTAGCAAAATACAAATGCTTTGCTTTCATATTCTTCGTTTAGTATATCCCACCTGTTTTATATGATATTTTTAGCGGGCGGGATTTATGCCCACAGCATTCAAAAAGTGCGAAGATTGAATTCAGTGCACTAAATGGAATAAACGCATTACATGAAATATGTACTTCATGTCATAACACTTGTAATACTTGTAGGAAGATTGTAATTATTATTTATTACTTCATATACGTATTTATCGTTCTTATTTCTTAATAAAAACTTTATAAACGCATTTTATAAGTTATTGTGTCATTTTACGTCTTATTTATATGCATTATTTGTAAATTTTTTATGAGTCGTACATATTCTCCCCCTTTCCTCCTATGAGTGACCATATATCCCATCTCTATGGATGAATATAGGACAAAAGGGTTTCAAAAAGTTTATTTTTTAATATGAAAAATAAAATTTCGGATTTCTAAGATTTTTTTATAGTAGACAGTACAAAGTTTTTACTGATATATAGTTCGATTATTTTAAACATAGTAAATAATACTTAATAATAATAATAAATTAAGTTTATGATGCGGCGTATATACCAGAGTTACTTATTTAATAAAATGATATCATTAGTAAAGTTAATATTCATTTAATTTAAGCGTTTTATAAAAGACCCGCGAAAAAATACGTATATAAGTAATCTTACATACCGTGAAAATTTGAAAAGCTATAAAACATATTTGTAAAATGACTAATAATATGTTCATAAATAATAATGAACTGTAGCAGCTGTCAATCGTCTTTGCATTCCTTGAAAATTTGTAGATATATTATTCACTTGTTATACGTTAACGGTTTATTACTTAAGAGATTGTAACAAATACAAGTCATAAAAAAGTTTTAAGTTCGAATTTTTATTTTGAATCTATCTAAATTTATATGATTCAATTTTATATTTCGTACCATGTTTGTACTTAAATATAATGAATCTGTAATTTTTCCTTCTTAAAAATATAATATATTTTAAAAGAAAAAAGAAGTAAGCAAATATTTTTGTATACGGAAAGATTATTTTTGCTAATGTATCTAAAAATTTAACTAGATAGAGATTTAAATATAATTTTGTTCAGATCATCGAAATAATTAAGTAGGAATCTCAAGTAATGCTATAAAAAATTTTGCAACTAGTTTCTACAACGTTCTACATAATCATTTAATTTTGATGGCCAGTTAAAATTATTTTGAAATCTGTATTTACCTAAATTTTTAGATATTTTAGTAAAACTACTTTTCCGGTGTGATTACATTATACATCTATATTTCTTTTTATAAAGATAGGACGCTCAAATTTATTTTTAAATTTATCTTAAAAATAATTTGCTATCTAATTGTAGGAATGTACAATTAGGTAGCAAATAAGAGTATTTATATAAATACTTCATACTATTAATGCATTGGAAATTTTCTAGCATACCTGATGAGATGTTCATGTCGTATAACAATCGCAGCTAAACCTGTCCTAAAGCTCTCTTTTCTCGAGGAAGATATCGAATCGTTAGTTATTTCGTTCACTAGATTGTTCAATGTCATTCGCAGATTTGTGAGCTGCGAGCATGTGTGCAGCACAAGTATTGAGACAAAACTGTCGATCGTGTAGATAGCGAGAAGTGAATACATACCGCCGAGAAATTGAATACAATATGTGATTTCGTAAGTCGGACTCTTTTGGATATTATCCATTCGATAGATCAGAGTTCGATAAGGTAGGTGTACAATTTTAATGAATCTGATTGTATAAAGACAAAATGACATTATAATTAAGCCCGTTACGGTTGCACAACATCTAAAAGATATGTTTCTGCTATGTCTCGCGGATTTCAACATGATATTTCGTTCCCAATTAGTCGCAGTCATCCAATCGGTCATAATCGACACTATCAACTGCTGAAGTTCTTCCAATATAAACGTTAAAATACATATAAATTATTAAAACCAGCACATTTCTAGCATCATGTCCAAAATCACGTAAGAAATCTTAAATTATCCTATCTTAAATATTTACTAAATATATTATTTTTTAAAGACATTAATACATACACCACAATACATGTATCACTGACTTGAAAGAGTAAATTAATCGAAACATAGTTGAAATCGCCCTTAGATATTAAACTGGAAATAACTGTCTTTTAAACATCATACTATAAACCGTCTTTTAAGTTCGGATTTTGAACATGTATGCTATCTGAGTTTTTATATAAAAAACATTTTGTATTTAAATAAGGAAGATATACGTAGTTTTCACATTTTATTCAAACATTTTATTCAAACGGTAAAATAAATCTATCTGACATTTACATTGTCACGTAAAATAAACTTACTCTTGCCATGATACCAAGTAACGATCAATTTGCACATTGCCATCAAGCTGGAATTCGTAGAGACAAAATATTCCACCATCCGAGTCATGTTACCCCAAACACGAATCACATTCATAATTTGCGGCACAAAAATATACAAACTTATATTACATATGACGATAATGAGTCTTATGCTTGGCCAACGAAAGTCACTTAAAGGCATATGTGGATCGGGCCATACGCCAAATAACCGTAGAAATTGGCGAGTTGTAGTAAACATATAATTCAAATCTACAAAATAAAATTTTTATAAAAGTTGTTTAAATTAGACTTATTATATTAATAAATAAATAAATAATGCTTTAAATATAATTCAATCTTGAATATTATACTAATATACACTATATATGTATTTGCACATATATCATATTGTTATCATATTGTCATCTTTTTAAAGCTGCGCGCCAAATTGTTTTTCCAGACTATAAATTAAAACTACTCTATTAATCGGGAATTAAATTAACAAGCAATTTAATAATTTGATACTATTATCAAGCATCATATTATAAAGATATTCATAAATGTTTATTAATATTTTTGATGCTTGATAATAGCATATATAATTCGGAAAAACAATTCGGCGTGCAGTTCTAAAAAGATTACAATATGATATATATGCAAGTACATATATAGCGTATATTAATAATTCAAGATTGAATTATTTAAAACAATGAAGATCTAGCTTCGACCGTAATAGGCATTTTTCTAATATTGATTGAATTTCTCACATATGTAATCTAAAATAAAGATTTTTAATATTATTTATTATATTAACTTATATATTAATTTATTACTTTAATCCATCTCCAATATTTTTTCCTCATTTGTTAAATAATTATCTAGTAAATGTAGTTATTAATGAACGTAGAAGTAACTTATTTTTTATTTTCAAATATATTGTAGTACTCAAAAGATTTCATTTACATCTTATTCAATTTGTTAATATAAATTATTATGTAGAACAGAACTAACACTTCTCTAGGTTCGTGTATGTAGCGTAAAATGAGAATTAAAATGATAAATAATGAATGAAGTGAATATATGTATGATTTTACTAAAACTAAACTAAAAATGTTTAATCATAATATTTCTATTTAATGTCGTACTATTTTTATATATAATTATGTTTTGTTTAAGCTTCAAATCTCTTTTCAAGATTTCTTCTTTTTAAAATTTTATCGTCACAAAAAATTGCTGCTGCAATTATCCTTCGATATTCAAATTGTTAAAACTTTGGAGAATTTTTCTCTCTCTCTCTCTCTCTCTCTAGTATAAATTCTTTCACTGGAAACATAGACGAAAAGCAATTTGCACAACTGACCGTTTATTTCATATATTTTTCATTTGGTTTTATCCAACTTTTCCACTCAAAAACACTATAAATTTGTATGCAAACTTTTCGAAAACGAAATATTTTTTGCTAGTGTGCAAAGTTTTATTTCCATTCCCGCAAACTTTCATGGATCATCAAAGTTTTAACCTCCTATAAGAGATCTATAGACTCCTCACAAAAAATTATGATGCTTTTTTTGCTAATTTTTGTTGTAAAAGAAACAAATTATTGAAGTCTTCTTTCTGTCTTTTTTTTTTGATTTAATAAACAAACCTTGATTTTGAAGATATATATTTGTCATGTAAACCTACTTCTTTATTCAATAAATACATAAAATAAATAACATTAAATGATGAATAGAATATAATTATTTATTAAATATTTTTTTATATGAATAAAATAAAAAAAAGTAAATTAAATTAAAATAATAATTAAAGAACACATGACTAAAGAAATTATTAAAAATATTAAAAATTAAGCATATTAACAATAATTATGTTTATATAATTATATTTTTAATAGAACATCGCGATGAACACATTTTTACTATTTTGTGTTGAGATATATTCTACCTTCATTGATATTCATTGATGTTCACAGCGCAAAAATTATCGTTTGACTGAGTCGCTCTCTGCGATTATACTAAACCACCGTGATTTTGCGCTTGCTCAGTATACAAAGAATTCAGCCGCTATTGTCTGCGTGAATACTAGTATAAACTCTTTTTTAGAACGATCAATAATAACACGAATAACATATAATCATCATATTTTTCATTAAAGAATCGATTACATACGCTTTTTTAAATATAGCGTTATTTAAAAGATTCAGTTATAACATTAGAAGATGATATAAATAAATAATTTATTTTTTATTGCCTAAAAGCATATATTTGTCCAAAGACACACATTATTATAATTTTAATCTTAAAAAAAGGTTTAATGTAGAGGATTTTTGAAGTAAATTAATGTATTTGATGTATTCTTATTTTTTATAATTTTTCAATAATTTTTGCGTCGTTTCAGATACAATTTTTATTTGAAACTTTCTATTTTTTTCATATTCTCCGAAATATTCGATC